CCTCTGTGGTGGTAGTTGAAAGCTAATTCACTATTATGAAGCAGGTAAGAAAATTTGGAACCGTGAAATGAGCGGCAGAGATGAAACTCATCAATTTAAGGTTATGCATGTAATGACAGAAATTTGCTCCCAATCAGCTACTCGCCTGATATCGTGCAGTTTGTCTCTATATGGTGGCTAATGGTCTGGTAATTACTTGTACCTGACACAAAGTGTGTCGAGAAGCCTGTTGGTAGTAAAGTATAAATATCAGTACGGGTTGGTGTCCTTAACCATTAATGGGCAAAGCATTTTTGATATAGTTATGTTTACAACGTGATGGGAAAGTTACAAACATGCATTCTTCCAACATCGTTGCTGAGGATGTTGTGCGATTCAAGCACATTTAAATTCTTGCCAGTAATGTAGCTAGGAGCGATCGAACAAGTGCATTTTTTTGTTTGCAGTTAATCACTGTTTTCAGTTGATACAATTAAGCACACATTTTTGCGTTTTGAACTGAAAGTTTGTATTTGAACATTTGTTATGAGGAAACTAACACTCGATACTTGTGAGTCATGTGATACGTTTAAAATGAGGTTTCTTAAGTCATTGCCTACGTAATGAGAAAGTTTACGAATTTTGATGATTAATAATAAATTTTGTATTTTCTGAGGTTTGATGTGCTATTTAGTGAGAAACAACGGTGTTTGATTTCAGGGTGAACTCAGTGATAAAGTCATTGCCTCCGAGAGCACATGGACAATAGAGGATGGAAAGCTTCTACGCATTTTGTTAGTAAAGGCGAATCAAGATGCGGCGAACTGTTGGCGAAGTTTGATGAAGGACGGAAGCTACAAGGCTGATCCTGCGACCTTTGATGAAATGCAGAAGAAAATGACACTGCAACGTTTCCAATTTGAGGTTTGTTAAGCACAGTTTCACGATTGTATATTCATTCGTCTTTAGAATCCGTCATTTAACTTCTCTGATGCGAAAATCAGTGGAAATTATCACGGAGGCGGACCTAAGTACTCTACTTGAACCTGTGGATCAGCGAGTCTTCGCTGTTTCCTACTTTAATGTCATTACTAGTTTTTACTGCTAAACTATTGTCCTTATCTTTAAATAATTGTATTGTGTTAAGCTTATTGTCGAGAACGGAGCAATATGTTCTTTTGTGATTACGACCCAAATATAGCGGTTGATAGCATAAACAGACATTAACTGCTGAGGACTGTTGGAACATTTGATAATTGTAATTTCGTCTGTCCAGAGGGTGATTGATGCAATGGTACATGTATTTTTTGGCAACTATCGCTAATAATGGTTTGCATGACTGATTTCGAAATTTTTCTGATCGAAATAGGTAAATAATCCATTAAATTTTCACTGTCGGAACTTTCGTTGTTATGCTGTCGTTGTATATGCTAAATTTTCTTGTGATGACTTCGAGCACCAACAAGGACGGTAATCGAGAAACTGTTATTAAATCTTTTATGATTTAAATCTATTAAGTGGTTTTGACTAGTTACATGTTGGTTACAGGTCATCTGCAGGGTCATAGACTGGCGGCTTTTATGTTCAGGAGTGCTTACTCTTCAGAAACTGAATTCTACGGCGCGATTTACCGTCCTTGTTGCTCATAAATTGCTAAAATACATTTATACTGGACATTGTTCCATAGTTTCTGTTCCGCTGTAGAAATTTACGAACCTCTCCTCGTGTTTTGGCTAACGGAAAACTACGGTCTTCATGTTTTTTATCCGTGAATTGTGTTTAGATTTTATTTGGCGTACTGTTGACGTTTTCTGTGCCTCAATAATAAGCCAAGTATAGTTCGAAACGTCAGCGGTATGATAATGATAAATGAAATCTTCTGTTAACAGAAACGGTTAGGACACACAGTGAACACGAACTTACTTTTACGCATAAACAAATTGTGCTAAATTTTCAAGTTTAGGGAAGGATTTTTTTTTCATTATCGATGCTTCCCACTTTTTTAATACAAATCGCTTTAGGGTGACAACAGTTTCGGTTCTTCTTCAATCCGACGTTCTTTTTTGCCAATAGTGATAACATAAGTTAGATTGAACGAGAATGGAATCGATTG